GTGTGTGTGTGTGTGTGTGTGTGTGTGTGTGTGTGTGTGTGTGTGTGTATAAAATTATATTCGCAGTAACGGTGTGATCAATGTAGCAGAATCCTCTTCATCTCCAGCTAATTTCTAATGTAATTTTTAACAAACTGCTTCACTTAAGTAGAGTTGTGCACCTGAGAAATGTCCCTACAATAGACCCAAAGTTCTTTCTTAGTATTTTATTTTACACCACTCGGAGCTGCTCTGTGTGTCTGGTTCACTCCAGCATGTCTCCATATCACTGATTAAAACTGCTGACTGCTGTTTATGTTGTTGGCTCTGCAGTTCAATAGTGGGTCAGTTTCTCACAGTTTTAAAGGCGCGTAATGGGCCGTCTCTGACAGCTTCGACAAACGGTTAGGATTGAATCTTGCCCATTCAAATACTGACACTTTGAATAGATTTACTTTTAATTTGGTTGCTTTTACAACTTGTGTACAACTTGAGATGTTACTTCTGCTGCCACGTCATTAGAGAGGAGACAATGAGTAATGATAATTCCAGCCGACTGCCTTATTGCTCTCAGTCTGAACTAATAAGCGTGTGTTTGAACCTCCAGGCCGTTTTGATAGGGAAGTGGACATTGGCATCCCCGACGCCACCGGCAGATTGGAAATACTCCAGATTCACACCAAGAACATGAAACTGTCTGATGATGTTGACTTGGAACAGGTCTGGTCATATTATTGTTTTCCTCTAGTGAGGTGACGCAACACCACACACTGCTTCATGTGTCACGTCATGTGCTTTATATCTAGTTCTCACGGAATGTATTTCATTTTGAATGGCCGTAGCAGTGTTCATGGTTGTACTTAATGAAGGTGCGTCTTATAGGATACTGGACATGAATGTAACGCTGTGCTCTGCATCTTGTATGTAGGTGGCCAATGAGACCCACGGACACGTGGGAGCAGATCTGGCTGCTCTCTGCTCTGAGGCGGCCCTGCAAGCCATCAGGAAGAAGATGGACCTGATTGACCTTGAGGATGAGACCATTGATGCTGAAGTCATGAACTCTCTTGCTGTCACTATGGATGACTTCAAGGTAAGAGCTGTGATACGGTCCTGGTGTGTGTGGTGCAAGTAATACGTTTTCAATTGGCCTTCTGAGCCCTTACTGTCATGCTCCACGCTGTCTTCCAGTGGGCCCTGAGCCAGAGCAATCCATCTGCTCTGAGGGAGACGGTTGTTGAGGTTCCCAACATCACCTGGGAGGACATCGGCGGTCTGGATGACGTCAAGAGGGAGCTACAGGAGTTGGTGCAGGTATGAACCTCTTCCAGAAGTAAGATGGATGCGTCACAAACCGTAAAATTAGAATGTTTTCTCTTACTGTGTTCTTTGTCCTCTCCTTAAATTCAGTACCCAGTGGAGCACCCAGACAAGTTCCTCAAGTTTGGCATGACCCCATCCAAGGGTGTGCTGTTCTACGGTCCCCCTGGTTGTGGTAAGACTCTGCTGGCCAAAGCCATCGCCAACGAGTGCCAGGCCAATTTCATCTCCATCAAAGGACCGGAGCTGCTCACCATGTGGTTTGGGGAGTCTGAGGCCAACGTCAGAGAGATCTTTGACAAGGTGAGCATGTTGCTGGGGTGTCTGTCGTAGAACAACCACATCCATTTAATGTTTGCAGCTAATTTCAATCCACACAATTCACGTCTAAAATGAAAACCGTCTTGTGTGATGTTTCCAGGCTCGTCAAGCAGCCCCATGCGTGCTCTTCTTTGATGAGCTCGACTCCATAGCCAAGGCCCGCGGTGGCAACGTGGGCGACGGTGGCGGAGCAGCCGACCGCGTCATCAACCAGATCCTGACCGAGATGGACGGAATGTCCAGCAAGAAGAATGTCTTCATCATCGGAGCCACGAACAGACCAGACATCATCGACCCGGCCATCCTGAGACCCGGCCGTCTGGATCAGCTGATCTACATTCCCCTGCCCGACGAGAAGAGCAGGATGAGCATCCTGAAGGCCAACCTCCGCAAGAGCCCCATCAGCAAGGTGACAGCGCTGCCACTTATAGTTGCAGTTTCTTGTGCTTCTTTCTGTCATTGGAATTTAGATTTTTATCTCTGGCCTATCATGTTGCTTCTTAGATCAAGTGTTTTTTAGAATCCTCCCTGTTTATGTTAAAAGAAATATCAGGTTTGTTAATGAAGAAAAAAATATTCAGATTTAATAAACTTCATCGGCATTGAGTCTGAAGATGATCCAAATATGTATGGTATATTTCTAAACTTCTGCTCTGTTTTTGGTAGGATGTGGACTTGGACTTCTTGGCCAAGATGACCAATGGCTTCTCTGGAGCAGATCTTACGGAGATCTGCCAGCGGGCGTGTAAGCTGGCCATCAGAGAGTGCATCGAGAACGAGATCCGCAGAGAGAGGGAGAGGCAGACCAACCCGTCCGCTATGGTCAGTGGGCTTGTTCTGTCGCCTGGATGAGCATCTGCACTCTGATGCTGCCTCAGATATTTAGCAATCCAATAACACTCTCGTATATGTTTTTATTTCCAAAGGAGGTGGAAGAGGAGGATCCTGTGCCAGAGATCAGGAAAGACCACTTTGAGGAGGCAATGCGATTTGCTCGTCGCTCCGTCAGCGACAACGACATCCGCAAATATGAGATGTTTGCTCAGACACTGCAGCAGAGCCGAGGCTTTGGCAGCTTCAGGTACGTTTCCTCACATCATGTACTAGCGTGACTGTTGTTGTCGGCAGCTGTGTATTTAAGTCTTCTGTCTCTTGTTGCATTAGAAATGATCTGCATGTTTGTAAATGGCTTCATCCTACTAGTCATGGCATTTTCTTAGACTCACTGACTACAAAAGGTAGTTATTGCCAGAAACACTAATTTCCATATCACGGAGAAATGGACTCTTATTTCTCCTCCAGGTTTCCCTCCACTGCTCCAGGCGGCAGCGGTCCAACCCACGGCTCAGGGGGAACCGGCAGCGGTCCGGTGTTCAATGAAGACAACGACGATGACCTTTACGGATAAATGTACACTGCCCCACTGTGGTCAGTACCGGGATCACACCTGTACAAATTCTCACCAGATTCCACATTTTTAGGACTTTGTGCTTCTTTCATGTGTTCCTTTTTTTTGTATGACTTCCCTTGGAGAAAGCATGTAGCCGCTTGTTTTGCCCTGGCTTTGATGTGGGTGGGGATAAGGGGAGGATGTTGGAAATGGAAGGTGAGTGACTGATGCAGATTAGGGAGGGGGGATGGGGGTGGGGGGGGGATGTTTTGAGTGGCCTCATTCTCAATATATCACAACCAACATGAATGGCTTTAGTGATGGGATTCTATGCTAGACTATAAGAAAGAAAAGAAAAAAACATATTGCTAATGACTTCCCCTTTTTTTTTTTTTTTCTTTTTTTTTTTTTTTTTTTTTTTTTTTTTTTAAATAAACAGTAGCATATAATGTATTACAAATTTGTCAAGGTTATGTTGTTGAAAATAAAATCTCACAAAATGGAAGTGTCATCAGTGTCTGTTTGAAACTTCTTTTTGATACAGAGTTCATGTGCAGTCTGTCTGATTCAAAGATATTTAATAGTTTTACAGATGAGGATGTGTTCTCACAATAGTTATACACTTAATACTACGATGAGAAGGTCATGATTTACATTCATTAATCAGAAGTGAAAAGTTTAACCTCTGACAGCATTGCCTCTGCTGTGGTTCACTGATGCTTTGCCCATCACTGTGAAACAGGCAGGTGATCAAAGCTATTTGGGCAGAGCGGCAGTTCTGTTGCCGACTACAGCATTATGGTGTCTGAAAAGTCATTTTTTCAGCAGACAAGTGACTGAAAACTTATTTTAAGCTCTTCTGCAAATGTAGTCTATAATATTAATTCAATCCAACACAAAAAAGGAAACTGCATTTTGAGCATATTTTAATTTAGTTTAGATATTTGTTTTCTTCAGAAAAACAACACTGCGTTCCTTGATTGTAGGCTCAGTAAGGATCATTGAAGGGAAAATGTGGGTGCTCTGCATCTCTCCACACTCTCTTGCCGTCCCTCTGTAAAAAGAAAAGAATGAGTTGTTCTCACTTTGTAGCTATAAATGAGAATTTGTTTACAACATACAGTCTGGACTAGACCCAGAATCCTATGCAGCTTTCTAAGAAAGAGTATCCACTGTTAATCACAGACTCATGGAGATCTAAATTGGGCCGATCTGTCAGCCACGCCGTGTCATTTGAGTTAATTTTGGACTGAGACTGCTGTGGTACGTACATAAGGGCTCTGCCTGGGAAGTCCTGGTAAAAATGTTGTGAGGTGTCATAAGATCAGGGACTCACCTCGACAGTTGGAACGATGAAGCGCTCGTTGTGGTTAAAGGTTTCAATGAGCTTCATGTCGTCTTCTGACAGAGAAAAGTCAAACACCTGCAAGTTCTGCTGGATCCTGGAGGGCGTCACACTTTTAGGGATGCACACAACCCCCCTCTGAACGTTCCACCTAACAGGACACCGAAGAGGTCAGGGTGTGATCTGATTGTACATCTCAGTTTACAAGTTGCTTTGAAGTTGAGTCTTTGAGTCTTACCTGAGAATGAGCTGGGCAGGTGTTTTCTGATATCTCTTTGCGACAGCAGCCAGTCCAGGATCCTGCAGCACACTTGGTTCATCAGGAGAGGCCCAGGGTCTGTCCCCGCTGCCCAGAGGACTGTAGGCTGTCACACAAACTGCGACTGACCTGTGGCAGAGGTTTATGCACGCTTAATAACACAACAGGACGATATTTGATAATGTGTTTAACTGCAGTTACACTGACCGACAGTGAGACAGGAGATCTGCTTGAGACAAATAAGGATGGCATTCCACCTGCGGCACAATGAGACAGTTAACACTTTTTCTTAATTACACTTTCTCTATTGTCAATAACACCTTATCAAATGTATTCATGGTGGCCTATGAAGAAAGCCACATCATACCTGGTTCACCACAGGTTTGTGTCTGGCCATGTTGATGATGTCATCAGTCTGCCTGGCGTTGAAGTTGGACAGTCCTATAGCTTTGACCAGACCTTTGTCCACTAGGCTCTCCAAGGCTGCCCAAGTGTCTCTGTAGTGTGTGTCAGAGTAACAAATACTACCATCTTCTCGTCGAGGCATCAGCTCCTTCCCACGCCTAAGGCATCCGACATACACAAAGAGTAATGGCGTAAATGTCGTCTCACTTTGATCCACACAACGTTTATCCATGTGGACACAAAATCAGTGAATTGTGTGCAGCTGCTCACTGAAATGCCATGGGCCAGTGCATGAGGTACAGGTCCAAGTAGGACAGACCCAGGTGGGCCAGAGTGGTCCTACACGCTTCCTCAACATCCTCCGGGTCATGTTTGGTGTTCCACAGTTTGGATGTTATGAACACCTCCTCTCGACACAGAGCCTGGAGGGAAGAGGATGATTGGTATACAAAAGATTCACGTTTCAAAAGAGACATACCTGATAGTTAAAGGTAGTGTCAGATATACGCTTGAATCAGAGACTGAGCATTGCAGGTGTATCGTGTAAATATTTCAGCAACACTTGCTCTGATAATAACATTCAGTCAATTATACCAGAAACAGAATATCTGCAACGATGTTGACTCTGTTTGCGCTTTCTATTAATTCAAACTGTGTGACGTGGTTGATAGCACCAGAGCAAGCAAGTGGATCTTGAGATTAGTTTTGTCAACTGCTGTTTCCAAGGTCAAGAATGAATTTCTGATTCAGGCTGAACGAGAGTGCCTCACCTTCCCAGGGCCGACCCTGATAGCCAGAGCCTCTCCCACCTCCTGTTCGTTGCTGTATGCAGCAGCACAGTCAATGTGTTTGTACCCACAGTCCAAAGCTTCCAGCACTGCCTGCTTCACCTGAGAACACACGGACACAATCCAAACACTATTTATCTTCTAAAATAACAACTTCCAGAAAAACAAAGCGTGTAGGGGTTTTGCTCGTTGTACCTGTCCTGGAGCGCTCTTCCATGTGCCGAGTCCGACCATGGGCATCTTCTGCCCTGATGAGAGAGTCACAAAGGCGCTCATGTTTCAACCCTGAGGACCTGATGGAGGAAAGACAGAGAAGTGGTGAGAGGTGTTCACATGTAGACTCCTATGAAATTGGCCCAGTCATTGTGTGACTAACTGTGTCAATGATTATCACTCACATCTCAACTCATTAACTCCTGCATTAGTGGGGGTTGTGTGTGCACATACACTCTATAGCCTTTCACCCAGCAGGAGCCATCAAATTCAGCCCACAAAGCAGCAAAACATACCACTCGGTGCCCTGCTTTCTGTCATTTGTTTTGTCACTTCCTGTGTTTCAGTGGAAACATAAACCCTCTGTGAACACAGCGTTATTGCCAGAAATAGCTGATACAGGGATATGGCATTAGTCACAGCGTGGTGTCACTGCAGCACAAATCTGAACCTTTCCACGCTTCACTAATTGTCTGCTACATGCTTACCATGTGATGTACACACACATGCACAAACAGTAATCATCAACCACTGCATGTTGTTTCACATGATCAGAATCTCTTAACACAGATCACCTGCCCTGACTGCCTCCTGACCCAGCAACAGAACAGAGCGTGTCATTTATTAATTATCTAACGCAGTACGGAGATTAAACAGAGTGAATTAAAGTCTCTTTATTTTTCAGTCCAGACTTGAGTTCTTACCTGGTACTCTGGTAGATGGAGCAGTGATCCGCTGAAGGTAGCTGTCCGTCTGCACTTCAACAGGCTCAGGTCAAAGTCTGCCTTGTGTTGTTCTATACCTCAAACTGTTGGAACATGTCCAAATGGTATCCTCGAAATAGCACAAAGTCCAACGTATATTGCCAATGTTTGATCTGGCCGGTTTCTAAAGATAAAGACCTGATGTCAGATCAGTTAGTTTGTTTGTGTAACCCATTGGAAAATAGTTACTATAATATTTAGGATTATCTCCATTCACTGATCATTATGTTAATTGGAAAATGACCACATCTTTTATTTTATCCCCCTTTATTTTATTTGGTATTTAATTTATTATTTGGTTTTAGCTCAGAGATCTAATTTTGCATTGTAAGGGTTATATTGGAAGAAACTTTGACAACAGCCAAAGTTATTGGTTCAAGACTGAATAAGTGATTGCCATAGGTGCCTATGGTACCTATGGCATAGGTGCGTCTCTCAGACTAGAGAGACGCACGCAGTCTGACCTGACGGCAAGCGAAGCACGGAGAAAGAACATCAGAGACACTGAAATGACATACTACACGTTACTTGTGTTTTATGTTAAAACTAATTGAATAAGTCATAGTTCAGTCAGACATTGAAAGACCCTGAGAACAGTGGACCCTCGTTTTATTCGTTTCTTTTCTCGGCTAGGTTTTTTGGATATCCCTGAATCCTGGATTGGATTTTGGACTCCTCACTGGATTGGATTGGATTTTCTCCCTGAAGAGGGGGATGGCGAGCCACCCATGTGAACAACTGGATTTAAGGACCCTTGAAATGCTTCACCTGCCCTGCTATCAGTGTGGTAGGACTGAGTGGAGAAGCCGCACAGAACAATTGAACAGAACATTATTTTTTTCCTTTGGGAGGAGAAGCATTTTATTTTATTTAGGGTGCACCCAGTTTAAAAGACATTTCAAACAGAAAAAGGTTGAATGCCAGTAGTACTAAAGTTGTTCTACTAAATGTATGTTATTACAATCATCTTGCTCTAAACTTAACTCTGTTTACTCATTGTGGTGTCCTATTATTGTTCATGACCTCTCCTTACGAATCTAGATGCTGGTCCAGTGGGCACTTACCTCACAGTTGGGTTACATTTGCATGCACATCATTTCAGTTGTGAGTCTTAATGATGTTTTTCAGGATGTAATGTTGAGAAACCTTGTTATTCATATCCCTGTATGCATGATCCAGGTTTATCATCATCTTCATTCCTCAACATCTCATCCACTCTTTTCTATTCCAACAGAGAATGAGCAATAGTGGAGTAAGTAACAGTGCCAATACAACGATGTAAAAATGTTCCCTTACACGTAACAAATCCTGCAGCTAAATGTACTTAAAACATCAAAAGTAGTTTCTACAGAAAAATGGCCCCTGTGACTGATATAGTATTAAATGTGACGTTATAAGATGTAATACGGATGCATCCATGTGTAAGCAGTATTTTACTGTTGTAGCTGGTCCAGGTTGAGCCTGCATAAGATAACATGTTAGAAGTCTAAATGGAAAGTCTCTCCTTGGTGGAGCTGCTAAATTATGCTAAGCTAGTATTTTCTAAGCACATCACATTTCTCATGTAAAATGTTAAATCTGGAAAGTATCTATAGCTGTATATTATTTAAACATATTCATTAAGGGGAATATTTGAGGTGCACAACAAACCAAAGCCGTACCTAAAGAGAAACTCAAATAACACAACCGTTAGGTTCACACATTTGGTTTATTTGTTGCCATTTTGAAAAGATCATAAATATTGTCAAATGCACATAAGCAGTGACAGTCTCTCCGCAGCAGCACTTGTGCATTCTGCTTGCAGCCACAATCCAGCGTCCCCGCAGGCTCCGAGAGGCAGGAGGCTCACACACTCAGACAAGCCATTCAAGTCTCCCCCGTCATCTCATAGTTCAGTCAGTATCTTTCTAGACATAAAAGTGCATTTATCAACAAGTTGCATTCAAACATTTTCCCATACACGTGATGTATACGACCTCCTAGTGCTGTCTGCATAAACCATACTCACACATACACCTTATCATAGCTATAAACTACAGTAGGAAGAGCTGAAGAGCCCCCTGCAGCTGAGACAGAGAATTGCTGCTGCAATATTACAAAACATTGTTTCCTAAACAGTGTTTTCTACTTGAAAAAACAGATGTTGAATGTACACATGTTGAGAAGCAGTTATAAAATCACAAACTGAAACCATAAAACCGAAAAGTAGACACCAAGGGGGGGTCTATCTTTAGCACTGCCCACAGTAGCACCGAGACATGGCCTTCAAATGGCACAAGAGAGAGCAGAATATAAACAACAAAGATGGGTTTCCCAGAGAAATCTCCACTATTTGTCAGTACTCGTTTGGTATCAAATCTCTCCCTAAAAATGTCCTTGCTCACATACAGTTCACAATGGTCATTGACATTACATTGCTTACTTACTGTTATTCCAAGATCACCAACTCGAAATGTCTAACACGGCATAGGGCATCATCTGTTGTGCACTTAACATGGCTGGTCGTGTTGTTACAGTGTGACTTGTGTGTGTGTGTGTGTGTGTTCACATAGTATGTGGTATCTCACCAGGCTAAGGCACCTAAATGTCCCTCAGATAGCGAGCCAGGCTATTCAGGTCAGAAGGGAACGCACCCATATCATGTGCAGATTGTATTGTCCAAGCTTACACTGCTGTTATTGTACGTGATTGTCATTCCTAGATTTTCAAATGCAGCTGAGATGCGTTAACATACGTGGGACTCTAAGTGCGCTGTGGAGTTGATCGCATCAGAATACAATTGATTTTAGCGGAGATAGGTCTTACTAAATGGCCTACACACTTCAAGCCGGATGCTTTATCACACTGAAAACATGAGAAAAGCAGGTGGTGGGGGGAGTTGTGTTAAAACCGGGGTTTGCACCGAACACACTGAAGCTGCTGGTAGACTCACGGTATAAGTAAAGTAACAAGTAACCCATTTGAGACTTCCTCTGTAACAGAAAATCCTGGAAAAAATGTTTCTTTTAAAAAAAATATCTCACACTTCATCCTATTATAAAAAGACGAGGATCAAAGAGTTGGACAGCATATAAAATCACTGATAAATCCGTAAAAAACAGAGTTAAGAAAAGACTGGTAAAAGCCATTATTGTGGGGAGCCCATCCTCAGCACCGCTCCACTGCAGTGTGTGTGTGTGTGTGTGTGTGTGTGTGTGTGTGTGTGTGTGTGCTTGTGCCAAAACAAACACAAATAATCACATCTTGAAACTGCCATTCGTCTAGGCATTCTTCCTTCATCCTCCCACTGTGAAGTTCCTACAAACAACAGCGTCTGCTCAGTGCTGCGTGCATTAACTCAAGACATGGGGACTGCAAGTTGGGAAGGGAAAACTACAATGAGGGTCAAAATTGGAGTATCAAGGGCTGGTTTTCTGGGTTTGGGCCATTTAGTCTGGAGTGTTTGTTGGTGGAGGGGTTGAAGGTGAGTCTTCCTATGACTGGGGGAGGTGTTGTCGGATAATCTCTCTGGACTGAGGGGGAATCCTGTCGGGAAAACGAACAGAAAACTCCACAATGAGGTCGCCGCGCTGTGATGGGTTCTTGGGGAAAGGCAGGCCTTCCCCTCTGAATCGCTTCACCGTCCCTGGCTTGATGATGTCGTGACAGGGGAGCGAGATGATGCGGTTTTCCAGCGTGGGAATGCTAACTGTGCAGCCACACAACGCCTGCAGGAGAGGAGATTGAGAGGGTTAACATCTTTAGTAGCAATGAAGTGCCAAAGCCATGAATATCTCGATGACTTCATGTTTCCATGAACTAAAAACTTTAGTTCATCTTTTCTCAGTAGGTCAACCTAACAAGTCAAACTTCATGTTTTCTGAGTGTGCTCATTGTGTCTGTGTGTGAGTGAGTGAGTGAGTGAGTGAGTGAGTGAGTGAGTGAATGAGTGAATGAATGAGAGAGAGAGAAAGTAGGCATATCGTTTTAGAATGAACTGCAGCACTGTGGGTCTACATAACAGCATTTGGAACAAAAAACATGACTTGGCAGTGGAACAGTTGTGTGTGTGTGTGTGTGTGTGTGTGTGTGTGTGTGTAAGCATGTCAGTGTTGGAGGGGCTACACATTACACTGGGGACTAATTTTAGCAACAGTCTCATGACCGGGACTAATGAAGTGAGGGAGGAATCGGCTGAGCCTGTAAATAGTTGGAGGGCTTGTCAAATGGGCTGGCAGGACGAGTGGAGAGAACACACACACACACACACACACACACGCACACTAAGCCTCACCTTCTAATCACAAGGACTGATGATAACCAGTCAGAGCATAGAGCGCTAAACTAAACACGGAGACCTGAGGTTATCTCAACTTCACAGGCTTTCCAGTTAGCATCACTCGCCAGATTTGCACTGAATAGAATAAATATTTAAATCCACAACTTTGTGAATGAAACACCCTGATGAATAAAATACATAAAATGTATTTCCAAGCAACTGTTACAGAAGAATTTAGGGACAGTGAATAAATACCATAAAGGTGTGGAGAAAGGAAGACGGAGAGCCATTGTGGAGGATCTAAAAATAGAACGATAACTTGGAGACTACAATTACCCGGAAGAAAAAGAAGACATAAAGAGGAACTTATAAGTTGTTTTTTAAAGAATGATAGTGGGGCAACCAAGGGTTTGGGACACTGACCATGTGGTTGTGACACAACTTGAGTCTGGCTGATGTTAACCAGAGTTTAGCATTTCAACATGCTAACACTTCCAATTAGCAGTGATTGATTTTTGATTTGATTTGATACACTAGGTACAGCTGAGGCTGATGAAAATGTCTTTATTTTTTCATGTATTTGGTGATAAACCAAAGTGTTGGACTAATAAATGAAAAGTCAGGGGGTCAAAAAAATTATTACAATTCCTCCCGAGGGGAACATAAATGTGTGTTACACATTCCTTGGCAATCTATCCAAAAGTTATTGGGACATTTCATTGAAATCGCCAGATGTTGAACCAAAAAGTTCAAGTTCCCAAAAACACACCGACACTTGCTACCAATCATCTCGATGCAACCAGCCCCGCATGACTTGATGATGATTTTACTTGCATTGGCACATGCTTAACCTCTAACACCCAGTCCATATTATTACCGTGCATCAAGACTCCTTAAGGATTATGTTTTTATTGTCCAGTTTTTTTTTTTCCTTTCTGTCTTGGGACGGTCATGTGGACAGACGACGCTCAGTCGAGCAGAGCAGCTGCTTCAGAGGACAGACAAGGACAGCTTTCCAGCCATGACATCAGCCTCCTTTTCCTCGCGACATACATTAGGAGGTGATTTAGCCGATGACTGTGAGGGAGACTAGCGCTCATCCTCTTGTTATGAACGGCTCCATTCACCAACATGAGTCTTACACACAGAGACAGGTTGCCATGATGCTTGGCACACACTGCCAGCTGATCTGAGGGCCCACTGATTGCATAAGCCTCAGCTCAGACAACATCGCTCTAGAGACACAAACGCACACAGATACACGGTGGTTTTGCGATATTTGTGAGAATGATCTGTAGATTCATTCCCGAGGGCCGTATCCTGACGTTAACTCCACAGTTATGATCAGCCTTATTTTTTTGCTGAAAGGACAAATTAAAAGCGTCATTTATAATCCAGTGTGTCCTCACAAGGCTGTGGGCTGTCAATTCAGTCTACCTGAATACTGGTTGTTATTGCTGTATTTAAATGAACTAACAGGAGTGAACCACATGATTGTTAAAAAATGCACATGTTGCTTTACTCCCGCTGATTGAACATCTTCTAAAACCTTGGATAAATAGTATACTTGTGTTTCTGAATTCATATCAGAGGTAGAGCTGTAAAGAAAACAATTTGCCTTTAGAGCCCAACAGCTACAGTTAGCACCTATGTGTCTTTTTGCTGCTGAGCTAACACCACCACACTGCAGAGGCATCATTATATTAATGCCAAAAAGAGCCAGACTAAAGATCCAGATATAGGTCGGTTTCAGGGAAATCAATGTGTCAAATTCCCGCTTTGCTCTCTAACTGCTTCGGACTGCTGTCACATTAAAGACATTGCAGGGCTGGAAGTTGCCTCTAGCAGAGTCTCCCAGGAGTTTAAAGCTTGGTCAACGAGTTTGGCAGCACGAAATGAAGCCGCTCATCCAGGCATGGTCCAGACAGTATACAAGACTGAGCAACCAAATAGCAGGGGAATCTACAGCAGTCGAAATGAGACAAAATGACCGTATCTGCTTCCTCTTTGTCTTTTTTGTCCTTTAGAATGAGCTTGTTGGCTAGGTTTACTATCTGCCGGTGCATTGCATAACGTTTGCAACAGTATATGTGGCAGGTTGTCTGGTGTGCAGCATGTGCTGTGTTTCACTGCAGCATTTAGCATCACATCTTCACGGAAGCACAGCAGAGGAATATGAGCTCGTATTTGCTGTGGATACTGTATCATCTGACCCACTTCCCTAATATATTCCCCAGATACCCCCCCCCCCCCCCGCTCCTTTTCTCCCCCCCCCCCCCCCCCCCCACCCCCCCATCTTTAGCTGCACCAGACTTAAGTCTCTCATCTGGCTGCCATAGGAGCAGAGGACTTAGCTGAGGGAGTTCTGCAGTGTAAACTTAACCATTGTGCAGGTTTGATCAAGTGACATCTCCTACTTAATAAACTCCAATGTGCTCTCATTAACTAGGCTGTCTTCATAGATGTGTGCAGCCACCCTTGTTTACCGGTGAATTACTTCAGTCGGTGCTGCTTTTAGAGGAAAGCTGCTTTTAGAGGAAAGCCGTTTAAAATTGTCTTGAGTGAGGAACAAACAAGTCCCCCGGCATCTCCAGCTCTTTGAGAACACCTGCCATTAGGCCGACCAGGAGGAGCGGCGCAGGACAGTGAGTGGCAACGCTATTAGAAACATTAAAGCTTGTGTAATTCACAAACCGTTCAGAGCTGTGCTGGACCCGATGCCCTCGTAGGAGCGGCTAATTAAATGTCCTGCCAGTCACAGTAATAGCAGCCTGGATAGTCACCACTGTCACACTACAATCCATCTTTAAATGAGTGTGTTTGCAAATAAGCTAGAAGATGCGAGAGTGTGTGTGCGCGTGCGTGCATGATTCTTCCCCCTTGCAGCTTGATGTGGGCCTGCGTGCATGTGTGTTTATGGATATATATTCATAGAGCAGTGCAGAACAAGTGAGGACGATGGCTCTATGCCGGTCACACAAGGACACCACATTCCCGCTGCTTCTCTCACACTGCAGCGACAGAGACTCTGCAGTTCACTGATCCTGCACTCCAGCAACACACATACATACATACTCACTCTTCAATATGTTTTATGTATGACCACCCACCCAGGACATTTTACTATCATATCAATTACAGTCTCACCACTCCACCTCATCCACCGATTGCCCAGGTTGAGTGACAAGAACGTTACAAAGAAAAGGAGTGGAAAAGGTGTGCCATTTTTGAATATTTGTCAAAGCCTTTGCAGCTCAGTGAATACATTCAATTTCTGCCTAGTTTGCTCCACTGGGAATCAAACTCGCAACCTCAGCAGCATTATCTGCTCATCTACATCCAGAACCGTGACAAAGAGAGAGGACTGAAGATAGACGGAAGAGCGGATGGCAAGAGAGTAGAGAGATGGGTTCGATAAAAAGGGACAGACGCACCTCTTTTAGACTGATCTTGCAGTTAAAAATGATATTGGAGCCGTCTCTCTTGAAGTGGACGTGCCCTTTGTCTTTCAGCACAAAGGCTATGTCGGCAGGAATGTTCTCAGGGGTCTCGTCCCCCTCCTTTGGGAAGGTGATCTTGGTCCCCTCCTTCCATCCCTTCTTGATGATAATGTTAAGGATCTTGTCCTCTGTCCTCATGCTGCGACCATCTGGGTTCAGCCTGCGGCGGGTGATCTTCATGCGCTTGGTGCAGCCATGGAAGATCTCTTCCAGAGAGACCTTCAGCTCGTGGACCACCGGAGAGTCCTGGTGCTTTCGCCCTGTCCCCAGGCGCTCTGACGGCACCCCCCTCCTCCTGCGGCCCTCCCCTGGGAAGCCGTTGGTCACGCCCCCTGGAAAGCCGAACTGTCTCCCGATATGAGCGAAGGGATCATCCTCATCCACGTCCATGTCCTGCTCCGCATCGTGGTCGTTGTGGAAGGAGAAACCGTTAGAGCGGCCGTGGCTGCGGTTGGAGCCAAAAAACATGTCGAAAGGGTTAGAGCCTCCAAAGAAGGAGGCAAAAGTGGCATGGGGGTCTCCGTGGAAGGTGTAGTGGTACGTTGAGCCGCCATGAGCACCTGAAGAGCTGCTGCCTCCTGTCCTCAAACCTGAGAGAGAAAAGAGAGAGAGAAGAACATGAGTCCTTTGATGCACATGCACACTCAAATACCTACTATGCTGAAAGACACACATTAATATGAAGTAAGATTCCAGACACGGGACAATGTTCAGAAAAGACTGCGTGTGGGTAACAGCAGGGAGAAGAGCGCAGCCCACGTGGGCGGGAAGAATCCCACGGCATCACTGATCTTCCAACAGCGCTGGAGGAGTAGAGCAACTCATAAAATACCAGGTCACTCCATCCAACACACTCACACAAATACACCTTTTAAACAGAGACACATGCAGAAAACACCCACAAATGCAAACTGCAGCAGCCGCAGCTATTCATATCTCAACCACGTAATGATCTTAAGCCATCTGTCTGTCAGCACACACACACACACACACACACACACACACACACACACACACACACACACACACACACACACCACTAGCAGCTGAGGTAGACTATAATGTATTAGAGCTAGTAAGTGTTGTAGACAACCACACACACACATTTCTGCACACAAACAAGACAACATGGAAGAGACACAGTATTATTACTTCAGTGACTGAAGCCCTCCACTGTGATATTAGATGCTGTTGAGCGATTTTAATAACAACTTAATAACTCATAACGCCTGTTTAACAAGGCCTGCACTCTCTGACCGCTTTCACTCAATGAACCTAGACAGACACAGACGGACAGATACATTACAGTCATTTTCAAACCCAGACATGACCCCTCCCTCCTCACCTTCCTCTCCTAGCTGATCGTAGACGACCCTCTTCTTGGGGTCACTGAGTACCTCATAGGCCTCTGCAATCTCCTTGAACTTCTCCTCGGCGTTGGCCTCCTTGTTCTTGTCAGGGTGGAAGCGCAGCGCCATGCGCCGGTAGGCCTTCTTGATCTCCTCCTCGTTAGAGCCCTTGGGGATGCCCAGGGTCTTGTAGTAGTCCTTCCCCATAGCTGCACACACGCATACACTTTCAGGATTGGGACCCCCCCTCCCCCCCCTGCCCCTCTTCAGCTCAGGCCGTGGTCAGTCACTGGTGAGATACAAGGTTACTGTTAGAGTCTGTTAACACTCCTCTCTCTCTCTATATATCTATATCTATATATATATATATATGCCCTGGCAGAGGTGCAGAGTGAACTCAAGAGCTCTCCTTCAGGGCTTTACTGTGAAATCTAGTTGGTGATAGTTGGAAATGAGAACACAGAGTGTTGGTTTTACTATCTGTTGCTATGGGGATGTGGTTGCAGAGGGATCCCCTTCATCTGATTTATCAACGGGCTTCTCTCTCTATCAGCTCAGCCTGGCAGGTAGCACACAGACGATGCTTGGGATAATTTGTCTCATGTGCACAGATTTTGACAAGTGATTTTGTGCATTAAATACATTTGACTTGGCTATTGGCTGATCCTACAGAAGGTCTGCCCCCAGATATGTTGTGTTAAACCAGCTGGAGGAGCTGTCAGACAGCCAGAAACCTCCTCACTGGGACACTGCGGTCCTCTAACAGGACAGTGTTTGACCAAGACAGAGAAAAAGTCCACGACAAGCCCCGTTACATCTATAACAATGTGATGTGCTGCTTATAATAGCCTGATCTCTTTTAGACAAAGAGCCGGCTGTCTATTTCAGTATACAACCCAAAATGATAAAGCCCGAAAATGTAGTCCCCACCGATAATCCAGACTCTCATTTACACCAAATATTAGTTCATACCGACTGATAAACCCGAGATATTTCCCATATTAAGCAATACAATGAAAAAAGGAAATATTAGTGAAAGAAGCCGGTTCAAAGACGTTACACGAGTTCCGGGCAACGCGAAAAATAGGACGCGGATTATGGAAGAAATGAGAATGAAAAATGAAAAAGACAAAGAGAAAACCCTACCAGAATGCTCAGCAATATCTGAAGAATATCGACACCAACATGTGTCCGGCTTTCTGTCCCGGTTTCCTCCGGTCTGCTTATCTGTCTGCCGCCCCGGCACCGCTGGGTCCTTATAAATTGACGTCAGGAGGATCACAGGCTCTGAAATAACCGGTGACCGAACACGGAGGCGCACCTGACGTCTCACTGGAAAACCTCGGACAACTGCCCGTGCAGCCTGCCACAAACTAACAGTGCATCCATCAGCTGATCGAAGAACTCACTGCTCCCGGGATTCACAGAGAAAACAGGGCAAAGTTCATCACCTTGTGATCTCGTCATGAATATACCCATCATTTAAAAAAAATCATACTCAACTTATTAAACGAGGCTGCAACGCGAGTTTACAAACAACTATATTTCCTAATCGTGGTTGGTAAATTGGTCAACTCCCCTTCCATGGTCCTGTTTTTTTTACCGGTCCGATCCCTGCGGTGTAAAATCGGATCTGATTTAGCCAGATTTCGCTTTAAAATGCATAAAAACAACAGATTAGTTGCCTTACCGAGCCCGCTGCTTTTCGTCCGATCGATAGTGGTCCTGTCTGTGTCTAAAATATCCGTTTGCAGTCTGGAGGGCACAGCCAGCCCTCTCAACCAGCAGGGCTCTTTGTTCAAGGTCTGCTCACAAACACACTCAGCACTCACACCGAGTTACATTTAAGGTGAAGTTATATTTATGTATATTACATATTATGTGGAAACAGAGCAGTGGCATTGCTTTGATATTGTCCTCTGGCCAGATCAGATCAGATCAGATCAGATCAGATCAGATCAGATCAGGCTGAGCAGGTAACAGAGTCATATTTGGAGAGAGAGAGAGAGAGAGAGTGAGATAGAGATATAGATAGAGATAGAGAGAGAGATAGATATAGATATAGATAGAGATAGAGAGAGAGATAGATATAGATATAGATATAGATATAGATATAGATAGAGAGAGAGAGAGATATAGATATAGATATAGATAGAGATAGAGAGAGAGATAGATATAGATATAGATATAGATATAGATATAGATAGAGAGAGAGAGAGATATAGATAGAGAGAGAGAGAGAGAGAGAGATAGAGATAGAGAGAGAGAGATAGATATAGATATAGATAGAGAGAGAGAGATATAGATAGAGAGAGAGAGAGAGATATAGATAGAGAGAGAGAGAGAGATATAGATAGAGAGAGAGAGAGATATAGATAGAGAGAGAGATATAGATAGAGAGAGAGAGAGATAGAGATAGAGATAGAGATAGAGAGATAGAGATAGAGATAGAGAGAGAGAGAGAGATAGATATAGATATAGATATAGATAGAGAGAGATATAGATAGAGAGAGAGAGAGAGATAGATAGAGAGAGAGAGAGATAGAGAGATAGAGAGATATAGATAGAGATAGAGAGAGAGAGAGATATAGATAGAGATAGAGAGAGAGAGAGAGAGATATAGATAGAGATAGAGAGAGAGAGAGAGAGAGAGAACTATAGCTGACAAAAAAATAATCATCTGGTAAAAAAAGATGTGCGTGATCGTGTAGTCGTGCCTTGGTTGAGTTGGGATAAACACTGAGTCATGTGATGACTCCGTACACACACACACACACACACACACGCACGCATTTTGATCTTCTATCTTATCGATGTATTCAGAGTCACATCCTACATAACTAAACTCTAAAATGAACCCCAACTTTAAACACGGTGCCCCCCCAAAAATAACCCACCCCTTAGCCCTGGACCACCTCATAACAGTGAGCTCAAGATCAAACCCAGGACGCTGTGAGACATTCTGGTACTGACTTTGAAATATCTTTAACTCTAAGCCTTAAAAGTTTAAATTAACTCTCAAAAAAGAGCTTCTGGCCCTCTGTGCAGTGGGTTTATTACATTACACACTAAAATATAGTGGAAGGACAGTCTTATACCTTTCAACATGAAAACCCTCTTTATAGGCAGTAAAGCAGGATCCACCTGAAGACCCTTATCATGTCAGCTGATATTCCGCGGTTTATTCCCAAACAAATATCCAATTCAAACATTAAATCCAGTTGTGAGACAGGAGCTACTGGGCCTCTGGAGTTCTGAGACCCTGGTTGGGAATCCCACCTCAAGCTAACCATACTTTCAACAGTAACCCGCTTCCCACAATCCAGATACAAACCAACATTAACTTCTTTCCAAATATCCTCTCAGTTTTTATTTTTTGTTGTAGGGGGATTTGGTTCTCACAACAAATTAAACACAGTGCATCCTAAAGGCCGAGTGGTCCTCCCTGGCTCCACCACTGTTCAGAGCACATCAACAAGCAGCCTACCAGCTTTCTAAAAATCACACTTATAACAGCACCGGGAGGCAGATGTCTGAGTCATTATTGATGACTTTTACTGTTGAGTAGGTACTGTCAGCGGGGCGAAGTGTTACTGCTCTGCTGGGTCAAAGTGCGCGAGCGAGCGAGAGCGAGAGAGATTCTCAATTGGAGCCTGTCTGACACACACATGCATGTACTCAAACACACTAAGCATTCAAACAATGCAAGCACGTAGAGAGAGGGAGACATTCCCGTGTGTCCAGCGGAGTGTGTGTTTTGGCAGCAGGGAGGGACTTTAGGCCAGTGCAGCTGTCCCAGAAGAGCAACTGGTCAGCAGTGGCGTGTTATTCATGCGAGGGCCTGTGATGGACACAGAGACATGTACACGTAGTTTACCCAATAAACATACTCGTTTCTGTCAGAAGCTCTTGCCTTACTTGTCGCATTTCTGCCGTCTGCACATTGTGTGTTTGTTTTATGTCTGCAGCCTAATTACCAGTGATGACCGAGGGGAGCCGAGCCACCACGCGCTGCTCTCCTTGCTGAGAGTGCACTCAGACAGTCGAGGAACAACTATTCCTGACCCGATGCAGGGTTCCCATGGTGACACAGGAATCTGCCAGACAGTGATGCGTCTGCCAGGAATACTCAGCAATGTGTCCTCTGAGCAACTGTGTATGTAGACGTGTGTGTGTGTGTGTGTGTGTGTGTGTGTGTGTGTTCTCCACCACCTGAGCTGAGAGACAGGAGAACAGAAGGTCCATCAGACGGAGTCAGATGAGGGGTTCACAGAATACACAGGAGGCTGTTTTGGAGTGTGAAGAGGAGGCAGCGATAAGCGCCTGTAAGCATCTCCCACCTCCTCTCTCTCTCCCTCTCTCAGCCTCAGAACACCCCGTCCTTTCCACCTCCTCTCTCACTTCTACCCTTCCTGTAACCATAGAGACCACCGTTGCCTGAAGAGAGGTTTTCTCCCAGACACGTTTGGTGGTGTTAAACGAGGACGCTGGATGCATGATGTGCACACAAAAGCACACCGCTCAATTTACACACCCCCTCCTGAACAATCCTCATTCAAAGTGTTCTGTACCTTCGCACAGAAAGAACAGGATGTGGATGACAAGTGAATTACTAAGACACAGTACGTGCTTGTCTTAACAGGCTTAGACAAGCAGGCTTTGATTTCGGTTTGACCATCTGCAGCGTTACGCATGCAGATCGTAATGCCAGTTTTGTTGTAGAGGTTACACAATGTTTCCTGTATTGCCGTTTGGACCCTTTTTGTCTCTCTCACAGTTTCTTTACAGCTCGATTCATTATGTGTCCCTCCACGTGGCCTGTCCAGGGAGCACAGATCAGTCTTCCTGCTCTCAGAGGCTACATGTACTACAGACGGTCCCCGATCACTGAGATGAGTCGGTAAGTACCAGCTGTGAGACATTCAGTTCCCTTTATTGAACTTAGTTTTGTCTCCGTTGTGGCAGCCAAGCCCCGTAGCTCCCTCCTCCAGCAGCCCTACAGACCCATTCCTGATCACCGACTCATAAAAAAGAAATGCTTTTGACATGAACAGTCACCACATAACACAGGCAATAAGGCCAGCTTCAGGCTGCAGAAGCGCAGCGTGATTATTATCGAGATGGCACAGAGCAACAGAAGTGGTGAACTGACGAGGCAAATTCTAATTAGAAGACTGTTGGACGTGCAGTGCAGTGGTCTGATATATCTGAACTGCAATCTGCCTTTGTCCTCACATGACCAACACATTTGTTTATATAAGGTGTGAGAGCCAAATATGGTGTTGGAAATATCAAGAAATGTAACTGTTATTCTCTGTGTAAACATTGGGAGGCGCTGTACTAATATCCTGGGCTCAGGTATGTAGGTACTAAAGTCACTGTTGTCGTCGGGTGTTTCTGGCCTCGGAAGGGTTTTGACCGCTGTGGTGGAAACAGCTTTGTCGTTCTGCAAATGATGCGTTTGATTGTCGGTGGAAGCCAACAGACTTGGTTTTAGGATCCACGCAAAGCAAAATAAAAAGGACTCTCACTCTAAAAAAAACTTGTCTGTGAAGGTTGTACTTTATGCAACGCACATCAATGGTAACATATGGTAACTTAGGCTTACAACCAGGTCACTCCTAGGAAAGGTCAGTTATATAAACTCGCTGAACATAGTGTCACACTAGCTTCAACAACATGACACTCCAGGTCTCTTAAGTAATACCAACAGCATCAGTACTTTGTATTCCAGGGCACACACTACTTTATAAGGAGGCCAAGTAGTGTGGGCCATTGTAAGTGGTGCTTAGTGGAGCTTCTAGTGCATGTGCTTATTCAGGCTGCCGTCTTTGTGCCCAACAGAAACAGATGAAACAAGTTTATGGTCAAGAAGGTTTAAGTAGCTGAGCAAATTAAAATAGCATCTCTTTGGCAGAAACAAGAAAAGCACTTTAGGCGGGACAAAAACAATACTGGCGAATGTTCTGTTACTAAACATGATTACAGGCAGTCATTGTATTCATCTGTATGTGCACAGCATCTACGATTGAGAGATTGTAGCTAGATGCTAGCAACAACAGCTGACAGCTTTTCTGGTTCATCCCTCCGCCCCATTTTAAGAAGGTACTACTGAATCTATAGGCTTATTAGATATGTCCTTCGACTTTCTCCAAATAATTTATGGGCCCTTCAACTTTTTCTGTTAGATTCCACATGCAGGTGTGAAACTCGCACCTAGAGCCCAGCATTGAATTCTGCTTCAATAAATATGTGCAACTTCCTCTCCAATCAAGAATAGAACAGAAGGGTTGAAGACCAACAGGCAAAGTTACATAAAGAGCGACAAGGCATAAATATGAGAGAAGAAAGCAAAGTGCGAGTAAAGAGTAGAAGTTAGCACATAACATTTCTTATGGCTGCGACTGGTTTTATGACCCTCCATTGAAAATTACCAGTCAAAAAGTATTTTTCACAAAATGCACAGCGAGCTCTGGTGAGCAGTCCTCGCAGATGAGACACGTGGCTCTTGCTGATATAAAAGCAACAGACATTCAATGACACTACTTGAAAACTTTGTGCTCCAGAAAGATTTTCTCTGCACAGAACAGAGTTCAACTGTCACTGTATTTGCCGCAGACAAGACAAACGTCCACTTGGATCTCCAGCAGTGTCAGGTTAACGGATAACGTGTAGGTATCTGAGGTCAGGGTATAGGAGGTTGGCCAACAGGGCCAGCAGTCGCGGTCCATCTCTGAGACAGTGTCCTGGGTAGCGGATGAACTGGACGGCTTTATTCACCGATTCCTCTAACTCGGCGTACTGCTTATTGCTGGGCATGGCCTCCAACACCCCCAACATCTGCATCCACAGAAAACACGAGCAACAAACGTTGTTTTTTTTTTTTTGTTTGTTTTTTTTTAGGAGATGACTGCAGACAGGAATGAATGAAAAACATTGTAAT